ATGCATGTGGATGAGTGTGTTGAGTTTCACAGACTGTGGAGTGCCATGCAATTTGTCTACTGTATTCCTGTGGGAACACACGAGTTTACAGTCGAGTAAGTATGTGCTCAGTGGACGGGGAAGTGGGAGCAGAGGAGGCTAACAGAGAAGACTGCATTCCTCTGGAAGTTGACTAGAGGTTTGCTGAGCTGCTTTAAAGCCATTCAAGTGGAGGTTCTTACTTCATGCTCAGGCGGTGACTCAGGGTGAAGTTTCTAGGTGTTCTCTGAACCCATGGAAACTTAGGCAGGTTCGGTATGTGTTTTTCAGGGGTGGGGCAGGTGTCCACAGCTTCCCAAAGTCATCCTTCTTGAAGAGTCCATGATCTAAAAAAAAGGTTAAGAAGCAGTGTGCCAGAGGAACCCAAAAGAGATGTTTACCAAAAAGAAGGACACATCTCCTGCTGCTCAGCATTCCCTTCCTGGCTTGTTTCAAGTGGATTCCTTGGTCATTGACGTCTGGACACAGACTTATAAAAGACTTTATAATTTTTGTTGATTGCCCATTGTACTTGCTGCTTCTTGTTTTTAGGCAGTGCTTTGGCGACGGGCTCCACTGGGCTGGCTGTATGATCATTGTACTTCTTGGGCAACAGCGGCGCTTCGCAGTCCTGGATTTCTGCTACCACCTACTTAAAGTCCAGAAACATGATGGCAAAGATGAGATTATCAAAAATGTGGTATGTGGAAGCTTCACAAAATAATCATACTTTGTACTTATTAAAAGTCCTTTTTTGGGGAATGCTTTTCATCCCAGTACGTAAGGTGACTGACACCAGCTGAAGCTTTCTTTTCATTTCCAAAATGAATCTAAATATACTTGATAAGTAAAGCAGTCAGGCAGTTAAAGTACTAATTGTTCCATGTTCTTTCTCCTTTTAGGGTACTTAGATCTGCTTCATATTATACAGCTTTATAGGATCTGCATTTTCAGATTATTGGCATACTATTCCAGTCTTCTGGCTTCTTTTTTTGTGCCCAAAGTGTGTGTGGTTTGTTTTGTTTGATTTGTTGGTTTGTTTGCTTGTTTTGGCACCTTTAAGATCTTCTTCCCTTTGTCATTTTATGGATTCTTTATAATTGAATTCTAGAAAATACTCAGCCATTATCTTTTCAAGTATTTTAGTCTTTTCTTCCATTCTCTCTATTCTATTTTAGGACTACAGTTACATTCTTGTTAGACATTCTTCTGGTTCCCTTATCCCTTATCCTGTTAGTTTTCTAATTACTTTCCTAATCCACAACAGATTGCCAGACATTTAGTGGTTTAAAACAATACCCATTCTCTCAGTTCTGTCGGTCAGAAATCTGGGTACAGCATGACTCAGTTGGGTCCTCTATCATCTCAAGGCCAAAATTAGTGTATCTGTAGGGCTATGTTCCTTTCTGGAGCCTCTAGAGATGAATCTGCTGGACACAGTCCCTTGCAGTTGGAGGACTAAGGTCCCCATTTCCTTGCTGGCCATTAGCCCACATCTCAAGTCCCTCCCATGCATCCAGTCTTTCAACTTTCCTTTCTGCCATACCTCCTGCCTCCACCTGGAGAAAGTTCTTTTTGCATATGATTAGATTGGGTTCACCTGGAAAATCCAGGGTACTTTCCCTATTTTGAAGTCTATAATCTTAACTACATTTTCAAAGTCTCTTTTGCCATGGAAGGTAACATGTTCATAGGTTCTGGGGATTGGGGCATGGATGTCTTCAAGGGGCCACTCCACCTCCCATGTCTTCATTTTCTTGTCTCTCTGGGCTGTTCCAGGAATACTGTATTATTCTGTTAACTAATTCACTTTAACTCTAATCTACTGTTTTTAGTTTTGAATGATAGGAGTATAACTTGTAATTCTAGTGTCTGAAGCCTCAAAGGTTATCTAAAACTCTGAAATATTTTGTGTTGGGTTTATTTGCCAGCTCTTGTCCAATTGAACTTAATTTAGATTGCTTTTCTTTTCTTTTTTAAAGATTTATTTGAGGGAGAGGGAAACTCAGGGAGATTCCACGCTAAGCGTGGAGCCTGATGTGGGGCTCGATCTCATCACCCTGAGATCACGACCTGAGCTGAAACCAAGAGTCGGACACTCCACCAACTTCACCACCCAGGCACCCCATGGATTGCTTTTCTCCCAAGATTTTTGCTTCTCATCTCCAGGAACTGTTACCAAATTGGGGTCACCTTGGAGGGTCCTGGCTTTGTTGGGAGTTTCTACGTGTAGTCCCACTTGTTTATAGCCTAGGACATCTCTTCCCACTGCTGCTGGTGGCATCTGTCCCTTAGGAAGTCCTGGCTTCTGCTTTACCTCCTGCATAGACAAAACCTGCAATGCTTTTTAAAGTGTCTTCCTGTGTATGTGTGTGTGCACGTGCGTGTGTTCTTTATCCAGTTCTGTTATACCAGCACAGTCTATCAAAGTATGCTGTCCACAAGAACTGGAATCTAAGACTTGGATTACTGGTCTTTCCCCACTGACCATATTATTTTCATCTTTACATTCACAGTTTTTAATACACAGCAGCTTCTTAATACCTGTGTGTTGAATGAATAGTAGGTCTATAACAGGTAAACCTACAGTCAGTAGCATGAGACCAATAGAGAGATGTGTTTAAATGCAAAATATATTCATTGTTCTAATAGGTACATTAAAGAGGTATGTGTGCTAGTAGTTTGCTGTAATTTTTATGAAAAATGTGAAAATCCTGCCATTTTGAAACATGAATAAATGTACATGTTTTAATAGTAAGACATCCTAATTTTAACTGTTGCAGCCATTGAAGAAGATGGTGGAGAGAATTCGCAAGTTCCAGATTCTAAATGATGAGATAATTACTATCTTGGACAAGTACTTGAAGTCTGGCGATGGAGAAAGCACCCCCGTGGAGCATGTTCGCTGCTTTCAGCCTCCTATCCACCAGTCCCTGGCCAGCAGCTGAGGACATGTGTATATTTTTGAAGAGTCCCAGTACTGACTGCATTTAATAACTATAAGGGCATGTTTTTCTTTCCATAAACTATTTAGCGAGATTTTTAGGGACTGTTTTTCAGTATCTCTGTGCGTGTTAAAGGGGGGTACTTTTCAATTTAAAAGCTTAATTTTATAAAATTGACTTATTTTTCTAGACTAAAATTGTATATGCTTTTGGTAATTAGAAAGTTTGAGAATATGGGCTGCTTATTGTTGCCATCATGTTCTTACAGAATTATTTTCCATTTTTCTATGGAATGTTCCAACAGCTAGCTATGTCAGAGTGCTGCTGAGTTCATCCATTTATTCCTTAGCAAAGGATCAGTAATATGTGGGGAAAGATTTATGGACTTAAGAAACTTAATAACCAGCTCATTGTAATAAAATGCACTACCAATTAGAATTAATGATTATTTAGCTTTTGTTTAAGGATTTTTCTGATGGTCTTTTATGAGTAACCTTTTCTAAGTCATTGTTCCCTTCCCTTTTTTGTGTCAACGTTTCAGAAAATAGTAAACTTGATTCCTCTGCTTCTACTAAATCCAGTTGTGACAGAATCTAATTTGTAAGATATGATTTAAAGGTTACAGAAATAAAACTAATAAAACTTATTTGTGTTTATTCAGTGTTGTGACCTACGCCCCGGTTTGGGCAAGGTACTTTACTTATCTGCACAGACCTGGCCCAGGAGATCTGAGTCTAGGCCACCTGTGGCCTTCCAAGAAGGGACAAGATCATGATATGGAGTAACTGCCATATGGCTTTGGAAACAACACTAAAATCCAGCAGCATCATACATGCTACTGAAAATAAAGTCTGTGAACTATTCCATTGTACTCTTTAACCTTAATATGAAATAGAACTGTTCTTTACCAAAAGTTACCTAAAAATATTGCTTTTGGTAATGTGAATAACCCTGGGGCCAGCATTCTGCCACAGACCGAGGGTAGCATCATCTGCTCACTCTATACTGGAGTATAGACTATGAGGAATTAATGATTAATGGCCAAATTTAAGTAATTCATATTACTAAGTTCTCTAAGACTCCATTATAAACCAAATAACATGTAAACATTTATGTACAATTTCAAGTGCTATAAGATGTTGAATTAAGAATGTATTAATCTATGCATTCTGAGTGCCGTATCACACCCATGGGGGTGAAAACTGGTTCTTACTCTATTAGGTGTACAGATCTATAGTACATAAACAGTGTATCATCTGTGACAGTAAGATTACATGGGGGAGGCAATTAGAAAAACAAAGTCTACAAAGGCTCCTTAGAGGATAAAAAAAAAAAATGCTGGGGAAAGGGAATTTATGTCATGAAACTTTGCCCTGATAAAGCCAAGAGAGCTGTGTGGTGGGACATTGGTGCCGTCATAACAGTGAGGCTCCGGCAACCCCCCAGGCAAGGACAGTGAGGCACCAGTGGTGACTGGTTACACAGTAGGGGTCAAGTTGTGTGACCTTGGGCAGGAGCAGCACAGTGGGAACAAGCCCATGTACTTCCTACTACCCAGGTGGAAATGGTATATCTTATTTTTTATTTTTTAACTTTTTAATTTTTTAAAGATTTTATATATATGAGAGAGAGAGAATGAGAGACAGAGAGCATGAGAGAGAGGAGGGTCAGAGGGAGAAGCAGACTCCCTGCCGAGCAGGGAGCCCGATGCAGGACTCGATCCCGGGACTCCAGGATCATGACCTGAGCTGAAGGCAGTCGCTTAACCACCCAGGCGCCCCAATGGTCTACTTTTTAAAGCCCAATTAATTGCTATGATGATTGGTTCTGAAGCTGGATGGAATTCATTATACTAGTCTACCTTTTTTGCATACATTTGAAATTTTCCATAAACATCATCAAACATGGACATTTTTAGACCAAAATACACCGTGACCTGAACAAACTCTAAAGCAAAATAGATAGATAGATACTGGGTACAAATAAACCATATTTTACAAACACCGTGTTTGTTCTAAACATTCAGACTTAGAAAAGAACTGTTCCAATTTGTCTTTTTATTATAACATGAGCTAAATTTAAGAAATTAGTCTTTGGACTTTATTTCCCAGAGTTGTTAGAAGATCTAAATGATAATGTAACTCATTATGAAAATATACTGAAAAGTACAAGAGTTGATGTAAAATGGTAAATCAAGATCCCAGGTATCAAGGGATTAGAGTAAGTGAAGAATGAAACCAGTCAGGCTGCAGCCTGACAGACGCAGATGAGCTGGTTTAGCAAGGTGCCATCAAGGAATACGAAGACCATCAAATGTATGGTGATAAATCACAGTGTGAGAAACATCTCCCAGCGGGCAGCTTCCTACCCTTTTTTGTTTGGTAAATTGTTTTTCATTTAATAACAGGATTCTCTTAAACTAACATCTCAAAATTAAAATAATTCATCAAACAGGAGTCATTTTTATAGGTAAGGTAAATCACAGGATAATGTATTAGGAAAATTTTGTTCCTTTTTAAATCAAAAAGCCTTCAAATGGTCAGGGATTGATGGAGTGGGGATGACAAATGTACATTTCAGATTTTCATCACCAATGAAAAAATAAAGATTTTCATAGACTTAAAACTGTCAGTGCATTTAGATTTCAGTGAAGGAAAAATTTAAAATACCTCTATAATAATACAATGTTAATAGAAATTGGCCAGGTACTGAGGTCATTTTAGTGAGCTACCATCATGTAAATATAAGAAAAGTAATTTCTTGGTCCAAATCTGTGAAACTTTAAAAAAGATTGTCTCCAGAGAACATTTTTGTTGAGAACAATGCTTTTTCAGACCCATTCTGATATTCAAGTTCACTTTATAACACAATTATAGATTAACCTTTTAATTACATTTTTCTTAAAAAGCTGTGAGATTTCCATTTCTTCGGGAGATATTTTCACCGTGTTGTTCAATTCCACAGGTTAAGCCTTCTTCATTATTATTAAGAACTTCATACATGTTAGAGAGATTGCCATTCATTGCTTTTTCGTCTTTTCGAAAAGACACAGGGAGACTTGCTAGACTAAAGCTGACGTCTTTAAAGGCATGCAACAAGAATATTCCCACAATGATTGTAAAGAAGCCACTCAAAGTACCAATGACATCATCAACAGGCATATCTTGCCACTCCTTAAAAAGAATAGCTGAACAAGTTAAAACTGATGTTGTAAAGAATACATAATATATTGGAGTCACAATGGAAGTGTTGAATATATCCAGGGCCCTGTTCAGGTAATTAATCTGTGTGCTCACACAGACTATAAGGCTCAGCAGCAGAATCCAGGCCAGGGGATGTCGCAGCACAGGCTTTCCAGCAAACAGCTCTTTGATAGCAATGCCCAGGCCCTTAACACAGGAGACTGAAAACGCTCCAATTACAGAGCAGATTGTTATGTACACAAGAATGTTTGTCTGTCCATGGCGAGGTCCCACCACGAAGATTAGTATCAATGAGACAATGACCACAAGTGTTGCAAAGACCAGAAAACCTGGAGGAGGCAAAGAAAAGTTGTATTTAGGCCAATGAGTAAGTACTAAAAAAAAACCCTGAGAATCCAGAACAAATATTAACTTGAGAGGAAGGAGAAAAGGTGTGACCTTAAAATACATACTAGCTTTTTTTGCTGCCCCAGCAAAGGTACACTCACAAAAATTTAGTTAGATGTATATACTGGGAGATTACACTATACTTCATATTCATAAACTGTTACATCACTAACATTTTTAACATAGTGTCTTAGCCTCATGGTAATTAGATAATAGAAAACGGAAATTAGCCTGATTTCCAGGCACCTACTCTAGAGTATCTTGCTACTTCCCACCCACTGGAATGCTCCAAGAATGCAAACAATCAAGAACTAGTGGAGAGAAATCATGAGATGACCTTGAATATTCAACAACTTATAGATGCTAAAAAAAAAAAAAAAAACGGCAGTTACAAATCAAGTTTGTCCTAAAAGGAGTACATTTTTAAAATATTTAGAGACAACCACTGGAGTAAATAGCGAATCAGTAAGAGAATCAAAAATACTGTCAGGGTTCTGCCAAATATAGAGAACTGAACCCAGCATAGTAATAATAATAGCTAACAACTATGTAGCACCGCGGCCCAGGCACTTTTCTCAGCAATTTGCACTGATTAACTCATTTAATCCTCACATCCGCCCTATAATATAGATACTATCATCTGCATTTTAAGATGAGGAAACTGAGCCACAAGTCACATGAATTTATTCTTTTCCCTCCTTAAACTCTGCCAATAAAATAAATAGTAATAGGACTTTTTTTAAAGATTTCATTTATTTATTTGACAAAGACACACAGTGAGAGAGGGAACACAAGCGGGGAGTGGGAGAGGGAGAAGCAGGCTTCCCTCGGAGAAGGGAGCCGGACGTGGAGCTGGATCCCAGGACCCTGGGACCACAACCTGAGCCAAAGGCAGATGCTAATGACTGAGCCACCCAGGTGCCCTAGTAATAGGACTCTTAAAGAATCAAACATACAAAAACAAGAACAGGTAAAGGAGATGATAGCAACAATACTATGGAAGCCAGAAAGCAGAAGATAAACTCATAACTCTTACAACACATACAAGAAAGCTGAATCCCACATCAACAATGATGAAAGATGGGAAAGTCAGTTTGCAGCACAGAACACTCCAAAGATACAATGGTAAAGGAGAGACAAAAACTGGAGACCTGGCTGAAAGTCTTTTAAAGAAGCATTAAGATTGCAGAAACCCAGCTAATTCCTGCCACAGCAAACTGGAGGACTCTGGCTAGTGGAGTGTGTAGGTGCCACAGTAACATAGGGGTTTGGGGTAAGGTCTAGGTCTATGACATTTACTCCTCCTTTCCCACTCAACTCCCAGCACTCAGGCAGGAGACATTGCTGGGGATCAGACAAGCCTGATTTCAGAAGGCAACCAAGGATCACCAGGAGAGGAACCAAAACAAACAGAAAAACATAAAGCCTTTGTTTGCTCTCAATGTAGATAGAGGAAAACTTCAGAACAGATAAATCACCATCCCACAAAAACAATAAAAATACTGGGGGTGGAGCAAGATGGCAGAGGAGTAGGAGACCTGGATTTCGTCTGGTCCCAGGAATTCAGCTGGACAAGGATCAAACCATTCCGAACACCTACAAACTTAACAGGAGATTGAAGAAAGGAATAGCAACAACTCTTTGAACAGAAAAGCGACCACTTTCTGGAAGGAAGTGCAGAGAAGTGAATCCGAGGCGATATTCGGGAGAATAGATGGCAGGGGAGGGAGCCTCCGAATGCCACTTCTGGCAAGTAACAGAGCCGTGGAGCACAAAATCGGAACTTTTAGAAGTCGGCTCCGCTGAGGGACATTGCTCCAGTGGCTAAGCGGGGGCTGGAACCTCGCTGGGACACTAAGGTCTCAGGATCCTCGGGGTCACAGAAAGACCAGGGATGCCTGAGTGCAGCAGAGCTCCGAGGTATCAGAGCGGGGAAGCTGGCTGCAGAGACAGAGCCAAGGTGCGGGCTTCTCAGCAGGAGTTGCCATAAACCATGATCCGCGGCACATTCGGGCCACTGCTCCTCCAACAGGGACCCAACAAGTGGCAGATCCGGGGAGACTCCCCTTCCTCCCCCGGGAGGTGCAGCCCGGGAGCGCACCACAGGAATCTGCTTGGTTTGGAGACTCCACACCGGGTCGGGTGTCAGAGATAGAAACGCTTGGCCACAAGCCAGGTGAGCACGGAGTACAGCCGGAGACCAGAGAGATGGGAGTGACTGACTGCTTTTCTCTGGGGGTACACTGAGGAGCGGGACCCCGAGTTCTCGGCTCCTCCGGGGCAGAGACTGGGAGGCTGCCATTTTCACTCTCGGCCTCCAAAGCTGTATGGAAAGCTTTCAGAGAACAAAAACTCCCGAGAGCAAACCCGAGCAGATTACTTAACCCAGACCCGAGAAGGGCGGGGCAATTCCGCCTCCGGCAAGGACATTTGGGAACCAAGGCAACAGGCCCCTCCCCAGAAGATCAGGGAGAACAGCCAGCCAAGACCAAGTTTACCCATCAATGAGAATGGCAGAATTCCAGAGCTAGGGGAATACTGCACATAGAATTCATGGCTTTTTTACCATGATTCCTTACTCTTTCAAAGTTAATTTTTTTTAATATTTTTTTTTTTGAATTTTTCTTTTTCCGTCTTTCAACCAACAACTTAACAATCCCTTTTTTAATAAATATTTTTTATTTTTCATTTTTAAAGTCAAATTCTGTCCCTTCATAGTAGTTAACCTTATTTTTGGTATATATATATATATAAGTTGTTATCTCTTTAAAATTTTGAGATACAGTTTCTTCTAACAGATCAAAACATACCCTAAATCTCTAGTGTATGACTTTGTTCTAGTGTCCTGCCTGATCATATTCTCTCCCTTTTTTTTTTAAATCCTCTTCTTTTTTCAACCAACTTATCAATTTTTTATAAAACCTTTTATAATTTTCATCTTTACAGTCTCCTCATCATATTCACCTTTATTTTTATACATATATAAGTTTTTCTTTCTTTGAAATCTTTGGAGGCACTTTCTCCTAACAGACCAAAATACGCCCAAAATCTACTGTGTGGCACTGATCTATAGAGCAGCATGATCATATTTGATCATATTCTGGTTTTTTTATTTTGTTCTGTTTTTGTTTGTTTTTATCTTTTTCTTCTTTCTTTCTTTCCCTTTCTTTTCCCCTGGTTTCTGGTCTTTTCTGATATGTTTAGTGTATATTTTCTGTGGACATTGTTACCCTGTTAGCATTTTGTTTTCTCATTCATCTATTCTCCTCTGGACAAAATGACAAGATGGAAAAAATCACCTCAAAAAAAGAACAAGAGGCAGTACAAACTGCCAGGGACCTAATCAACACGGACATTAGTAAGATGTCGGAACTAGAATTCAGAATGATGATTTTAAAGATACTAGCTGGGCTTGAAAAAAGCATGGAAAACATTAGAGAAACCCTTTCTGGAGAAATAAAACAACTAAAATCTAACCAAGTCGAAATCAAAGAGGCTATTAATGTGGTGCAATCAAAAATGGAGGCTCTAACTGCTAGGATAAATGAGGCAGAAGAGAGAATCAGTGATATACAAGACAAAATGATAGAAAATACAGAAGCTGAGAAAAAGAGAGATAAACAACTACTGGATCACATGGGCAGAATTCAAGAGATAAGCGATACCATAAGACTAAACAACATTAGAGTAATTGGGATGCCAGAAGAAGAAGAAAGAGAGAGAGGGGCAGAAGGTATACTGGAAAAATTATAGCAGAGAACTTCCCTAATTTGGGGAAGGAAACAGGTATCAAAATCCAGGAAGCACAGAGAACCCCTCTCAAAATCCATGAAAATAGGTCAACACTCCGACATCTAATAGTAAAACTTACAAGTCTCATAGACAGAGAAAATCCTGAAAGCAGCTCGGGAGAAGAGATCTGAAACCCTCAATAGCAGAAACATTAGATTGGCAACAGACCTATCCACAGAGACCTGGCAGGCCAGAAAGGACTGGCAGGATATATTCAGAGCACTAAATGAGAAAAATGTGCACCCAAGAGTACTATATACAGCTAGGCTGTCACTGAAAATTGAAGGAGAGATAGAAAGCTTCTAGGACAAACAAAAACTAAAGGAATCTGCAAACACAAAACCAGCCCTACAAGAAATATTGAAAGGGGTCCTCTAAGCAAAGAGAGAGCTTAAAAGCAACACAGACCAGAAAGGAACAGAGACAATGTATGGTAACAGTCACCTTACAGGCAGTACAATGGCACTAAATTCATAACTTTCAATAATTACCCTGAATGTAAATGGGCTAAACGCCCCAATCAAAAGGCACAGGCTATCAGACTGGATTAAAAAAACAACACCCATCGATATGCTGTCTGCAAGAGACTCATTTTAGACCCAAAGAAACCCCCAGATTGAAAGTGAAGGGGTGGAAAATCATTTACCATGCTAATGGACACCCAAAGAAAGCTGGGGTGGCAATCCTTATATCAGACAAAATTAGATTTTAAACCAAAGACTGTAATGATATGAGCAAGGACACTATTTCCTACTTAAAGGGTCTATCCAACAAGAAGATCTAACAATTGTAAATATCTATGCCCCTAACATGCGAGTGGCCAATTATATAAAGCAATTAAGAACAAAAGCAAAGAAACACATTGACAACAATACAATAATAGTGGGGGACCTTAATACCCCCCTCACTAAAATGGACAAATCATCTAAGCAAAAGATCAACAAGGAAATAGACTTTAAATGACACACTGGACCAGATGGACTTCACAGATATATTCAAAACATTTCATCCCAAAACAGCAGAATACATATTCTTCTCTAGTGCCCATGGAACATTCTCCAGAATAGATCACATCCTAGGTCATAAATCAGGTCTCAACCAGTACCAAAAGATGGGGATCATTCCCTGCCTATTGTCAGACCACAATGCT